ACACACACACACACACACACACACACACACACACACACATACATGATTAGACTAAAATGGTATTTCTCAACTCTTTTCACATTATAACCAACACTCTTTAACACCCTGATCAATAGTAGGATACATGGAATAACTGCAGGATGGTTAGTGAAAAAAACTGTATTTTTTCCCATATAATTAAAAAACGTTTAAGTATTAACGTAAATATTGGATATATGTAATGCTAAAATTCTTGGACATATGTAATGCTAAAATTCATAATATGAATGAATTTTGAATCCAAAGGTTTTCACATCAAGAATATTTCAAAATAATGAAATTTTTTTAAGGAATAAACATTTTATTATGTAGCAAGCTAAAATGGTACATCAACTGCACATGGCAAGCAGATTCAATAGATGTGAACCAGAGATTTAGGCCACGAGGTGCCCTCCCCCCCACTCTGCTTCCTTGTCATCACCAGTGGGATGCACCTTGCACAGGATGCCATGCTCCTCAGGTGCCTGAAAACAAACTCGCTACAGCTCCACATTCTCTTTTCTTTAGGAAGCAGCTGCATCCTCAGTGGCTGGTGGCTGAAGTCATTGCACTTAGTAAATTGCACCTCCATTAAAGGACTTAAAATATCAAAAGGAGCATTAACTGCTGATTATCACTCATCCTGGGGTTTACAGGAACCCCAAAGAGAACTCCCCCCTTCAGCCCCTATAAGAATAGGGCCAACCAGATGAGCCATATGCATCAATTAAAGGCTCCGAATTAGAAGACCTGGAACAAAACTTAAACACAGCATTGTAGCAATCATTTTTTAACTGCTACAATTAGGGCTTTTTCTTTTTCTGCTTTACCATTTCCTGTAACTACAACATACCTTAAAAATACTTACTTTGAATAGATATTATATGTACACAATAAAAAATTATCAAATATTATTTGGAATATAATACTGGAGGGGAAGAGGGTCCATTTTTGTCTTCCAGTCGGCAGTTCTACTCACTAAAGGCAATCACTATTACCGAATTCTCATATATCTTATAGCTGTTCCATATGCATTACATTCTGTACCTCTTCCTAAAACGCACAACTTGCTTTTTTCCTCTTCCATCTTAAGAGATAGCACCACTGCTCTACGCACAGTGTTGTATCACAATGCTGTCATAAATATTCTTACATTTTATTTGACATATATGCAAAATCTGGAGCATAAACTCCTTGCCTGGATTGCTTGTTTATAATAAATGTGCCCTTTTTAATTCTGAAATTTACAAAACTGCTTTACACCAAACACGAATGCTATCAACAATGTATGAAAATGCCACTCCTCCTTTCTTAAGTTATCCTGAATAACCCTGCAAGTGTGACAGATGATAAAGAGCATGCTGTAGCTGTTATTCACAATTTTATTATAAAAATTTTTGCTCGTTTTTTCAATTGGTAGTACCTATCTATTAACAGGAAATTAGCCTTTTTTCAAAAGTACAAATGAATGTAGTCTATTTACCTCTGAATTTGATTGTTTTTCCGCATACAGAATTTCACTTCTGTGTCATAAAATGCAGCCTCCAGCTTCAGCTATTTTTTTCATACTATGAAAGGTTTGTCATTCCTAGGCTACATAAAAAATAATTATCCTGTTTCTTATTTCACATTTAAATCACTAACTCCTCTGAAAGCCAACTTTAAAATTTTTCTGGAATAGTAGCTAGACCCCCAAACAATGCTTATTAAATAATTGTTATTTTCCTAACTGGTAGGTTAAAGTGGTATCTATTTTAGTAACAAATATTTGAGTTAATTTCTTTTTTAAAAATTTTTTTTAATTTAATTAATTTTTTTTTTTTTACTTAATTTCTGACTTCAACTCTGTTGCATTGCTGTCATGTGCCAAAATCATGCCACCTTTTAAAACATTTCACAGCCTGGGGATAGAATTCAGAAGTAGAACACCTGTCTAGTATATACGAGGCCCTAGGTCTCTCAATACCAGAAACACCCTCACACATCCACTTTAAAATTAAAATAAGTATATATAAATGGCTATACATCAACTGGAAATTGCTAGTTTAATACAAGAATTGCTTTTGCAAATTTCTAAACTAAACTTATAACCAAGACCAAAACACCATCATGCAATTATGATTTTAGTGGATATTTATTTTGGAGACCATAATGAACCTCATACATCTTTTAAAAACTATTTCTGGGGCTGAAGGGATGGCTCAGCAGTTAAGAGCACTAGCTGTTCTTGCGGAGGACCTGGGTTCAGTTCCCAGCACCCACACGACATCTAAATACCATCAGAAACTCCAGTTCCAGAGGATCTGATGCCCTCTTCTGACCTCTGCAGGAATCGCATGACATGGGTGCACTTACATACATGCAGGTATTTTACTCATACACTCATACACATAAAATAAAAACAAAAATACTTTTTAAAAATTAAAAACTTGGGCTGGAGAGATGGCTCAGTGGTTAAGAGCACTGACTGCTCTTACAAAGGACCCAGGTTCAAGTCCCAGCACCCACGTGACAGCTAACAACCATCCATAACTCCAGTTCCAGGGTATCTGACGCCTTCTTCTGACCTCTGTGGACACTGCACGACACAGGTGCACTTACATATATGCAGGCAATATACACTCATACACACAAAAAATAAAAATAATAGAATATTAAAAAAAATTCTGAACTACATCTAGAAAATTGGTTTTTCATTAACTTGTATGTGAGGTCTTTTAAAAATTATAAAATCAATACATGTTCTCTGTAGAAAATCTGAAAAATACAAAACACACTTTCTACAAAGAACCAACCTTTACACTTCAATAATTGTTTCTGCATTTTGTGACTATTTTATAAACTGATTATTTTCACAAAATATGACAGCATTTCTCCATGTTATATACACTATATACATGATTTAATGATACATAGTATTTCACAGGAATATGCCCCACTTATGAAACCACTTCCCATGAAA